GCCGGTCCTCGTCCCCGAGGGTGACGGAAAAGAGGCGAGGCGCCGAGGCTGCGCTTCAGTCGGCAGCCGGGGCAGCCTCGCCCGGCCTCCGGTGACGGAAGGGAAGGGTGGCGTCCGCCTCCTCCCGCCGCCCACCTCTGCCCGGCCTAAAGGGCGTCCCGGCGGGCAGCGTTCACCCCTTTCTGCCGTGATCCCGTTCCGCTGAGAACTCTCCGCTCTGCCGACGGGGTTCTCGGCGGAGCTGGAGGACGGCGAGCTGCGGCAGCGCCTGGCTGGGAGTCGGGGACGGAAGGACGTCCCTGCTGGGTGCGATGGTCGGTGCCAGCAGCTTACCTTGCGGCAGTGCCTCTCGAGGGACGGCAACTCGCTGCCGCATCGGGCCTAGCCTGGAGAAGCGCTGAGGGCATGGCCTGGAGGAAGAGCTTCCTGTGACACGTGCTGAGGGAAGAAGGGCTTGGAAGGTCCCGAGACTTTCCTGACGCTGCTGCTGCTGATTGTTCTAGTATCAGTACTCCTCGCGAGCCGCCCAGCCCGGAAGACCTTGGCTTTCTGGTTAGCCATGCTGGTGTAAGAGATGGGATTCAGTTTCTAAAATAACGTAAGTTGAGAGCTAGTGTTCTGAATACAGACCAAGCAACAGATGTGTTCTTTAATGCACATTATTGATGGGAAAGAAACCGAGATCTGAGAGGTGGAAAGGCTTCACGTACATATACAGGAGCTAAAAAATGATGGCTTTGGGAGAAAAACAGGGTCTGCAGCCATGTGAGGTGTGATCTGAAAGCCTTGTTGATAGAGCAGCTCCTCACCAGCTGACTAGATCACGGTGAGAGGTCTGCTCGCAAGATAGGCAGCTAGAATGGTAAAGCAGATGGAAGAGGATGCCAGTGAGCTTCCTGCCGTGGCCAGCGGGTTCCAGGAAACAAAGGAGTCCTTGGAAGTTTGGGCCATTTTAGAATGTACTAACAACTGGAGCAAGGACTTCAACTGTAAGATTTAGGAGGAAGATGAAAGGATTGCAAATTGCTGAGGAAGTAATCTGCGTAGGTGTGCGGTAGGGCTAGCTGGAGAACTTGGGAAAGCATGGACGTGAACAAGAGCTGTCCACCCTTACTTGTGATGCACAGAGAGAAGAAGTTGAATATCTTCAGTCAAATAATGTGAAAGTTCGGTAGTTTGGAGGGGACGACTCTGTGGGAGAAGAAGGTTCCTCACAACTCTCATGGATTTCTGTATAAATAGTTAGAAAGATGAACTTTGTCAGCTGACTTCAACGCTCAGACTATGAGAAGACATTTCAGTTTACGGAGGAGCTGAGGATATACAGAACAGGCCAACTTTGTCTTCCCCTCTGTCTTGCTGACCTGTAGAGAAATTGTAGTTCTCTGCTCCTGTCAGAGAAAGAGGTTTGGTTCCGTGGGGCTGAAGAACCGTTGCAATAGGTTGGGAAGGTGAAACCATGTCAGTGGTCTGCAGAGGGGAAAAGGCCCAAGTGGCTGTTTCTGGGTCTCTTTCAAACCTGCCAGAGGGACTAGGAGATACGGTTCGATACAAGGGTGTAAAAGACTTGGGAGAGTGATAGCTTACTGAGGTGAAACGAAGTTCTCCTGATAGGAGTGACTGGTCTAAAGGAAAGAAACTCGCGTGAGTAGCCGTGGCTATAAACGTCCATAACTGTACGCAAAAACACAGGGTGATACCCATCTAGCTCAGCGTCTTGTCCGTGACTGCTAGAGAAGCGTCTAGTGTACACTTGGCTTCTGGCCACCTGCCGTTTAGGTACTTCCTGAGTCGAAGGTTGAACGCTCATTGTTGTGATTCCCAGCCCCGGTGAAATTTTCTTCCTTGAGCTCGACGTAAGAGCTCTATGAACCCATTTATATTTTTGGCGTGCAATGAGTTCTGCAGTTTAAGAACCGTGCTGTGCAAACCGGTACTTCCTTCTCCACTCTGTTCATTGCTCATCATTCTGTGCTTCTCTTTTCATGTCTTACCTCGGTTGTTCCTCTCTAAGGTCATGTCCCCTTCTGTGGCATCCTCGTTCCGCCACCCTTGTTGCCCTTCTCTTTCTTTTCTACTTCTGCTGCATCCTTTTTGAGAAGGAGGGACCAAACTTGCATCCCGTGTTCAAGCTGTGAGCGTCCCATAGATTTATACACCTTTATGGTATGAATCCTGTTTATTTCTCTTTTCCTTTTTCATGTTGTTTGCTCTTTTGAGCCGTGAACCTGATGCCGTGAAAGAACTGTCCTCCATGACTTCCTCAGCAGGAATAGTTAGGTAGCACCTACCACTACAAAAGGGAAGGATTCCTTCCCTTTCCACCCCACCCTCACTGCAGTATTTTACTTCGCGTTTATCAAATATTTGCTTTCGCTGCCATTTAATTCACTCATTTAATACTATGAAAATCTCCTGCAGCACCTTCCTGCCAATTTCTGTTTTTACAGTCCTGAATGATTTTTTTCTCACCGGGAAACTTAGCATGTACCCAGGAAGACTGCATCATCCGTCCCCTTACACACACACAGGGGGGTTGCTCCTCCGTCTCGCCTTTCTGCACACAAGTTCTGGTCATTGCTGTAGTTTCATGCAATTTTCTCAGTACAGAAATTGGACTTGGTGGTTTATACGTTGTTGGATTACCTCCACGGCCTTTTTAAAGATTGGTATCAGACTTGCCATCCTTATTTCTTTGATGCTGAGACCACTTTGATGAGCAGGTTGCACATCGCAGTTCATAGTTTAGCGTCTTCATCCTTCAGCTGATAAAAATCTCTTGGGTGAATCCCATCTGATCCTGATGATGAACAGTGACTCATTTTGTGCATTTCATTTCACATCTCTTACACTTCGCTGTGAGACAGTTCTCTTCACTTGTACCCCATCAGTAAAGGTTCTTGTCTGGGAACGTCTCCAAGATCCCATGCAGAGATGCAAAGAATTAATTTAGCTTTTCTCCTATAGCCTCCTTCCTCGAGGCTTTTGTATGTTGCGCTCATCTGTTGACTTCAGGCTGACCAGCAGATTTTCTGTTTCTGGTGTGCTGGCAAAAGCTGTATTTGTTCTTTTTTGGGATGAAGTTTATGGTTAGAAATGATCACGCCTAAACTTGTGCCTTAAATTGAGGGATGGTTTGCTGGGTGCTAATCCACAGTCAAATAGACCTGTGGTGCTTCTGTCCAGGTGGTCTTTTTTGTACAGCCTGCCCCTAATAACAAACTCTGCTGAAGACAGCAGAGGAAAAAGAAGAAACGTGGTTAGAAAGAGAAAGCTGCCTCTTCTTTTCCTATAAATTTCAGAAATGTAAGCCACTCTTGGATAATGTACTTACTGGAATAATGGATGTAGAATTGCAGAAATGGACTTCAGAGCACTAAAAAGTTTCCCCAATGACTGAGATGGCAAAAAGAATCGTGTGACTCATGTGGCTAATGCAGCCCTCTGAAATTATTCTATCCAAATTAAAAGGTTTCTGGTCAGAGCAGGAAAGCTAACAGTTTAGAAGATGGAGTGCTTTTATAGGAAGTGGGATGGGCACAAGCATCAGTTGACAAAGGAGATTCTGAAGTCACGATGATTTTAAAACAGCTTGTCATTTCAGGGTAGCAAAAAACTTAATCTAAGAAAAAGATGGGGCTAAATTACTCCTGGGGCAGGAAGTGTAGTAAATGTGCTGCAAAAGAGGGTTTCTGTAACTGCACAGGGTGCATGGGAGCACAGGGGGCATGGGAGCGCGTTGGATGTTCTTGGGTATCTTTTGTGGGCATGGGAGCGCGTTGGATGTTCTTGGGCTCAAAACATGTGTAATGGAGAAGCGAGAGTATGTGATACTAGTGCAGACTCAAATACATGAGTTCTCAGGCAGGTTTGATTTCTGAAATGGATCACATTACACTCGAGGAGGAAGGTTGGGGCCCCAGCTACCTCCGTGTGTCTGGGGGTTCGGATTCTGCAGGAGGTACATCACTGCAGCACAGTCTCGCGGTGTAAAGGGAAGGGTTCAGTTTTCTGCCTTTGCAGAACAGCTCCTCTGGGACCAGGCTGAGCATATTCCATTTCTTTTAGATGCCTTATAGAATAGCTATTAAATGGTCAATAAAAGCATAACATATACCCGTCATTCTTTATGTTTGGGTTTGAGTAAGAACCTCAGTAAAAATCATGCTTTGAGTTCCTAAAGAGGGATAAAGGGATTTGGGCTATACTTAAATTACTCGCTCTCAGTCTCCTTGTCTAAATCTGTCCTGTTGGCTCATAAATGCTAATGCAGATGCACGGATTCCAAACTAAAAGTGACACAGACAATCTTGCTTGGCAGGTAACCCTCTGCAAATACAAATAAACCGTTAGTAATGATTTGACTGTTAGTATGCAATTGTTTTAGTATTTAAGTGAACACCAGCCTTTGATAAATTGTAGTTGTTACTGGAAAATTCAGTTTGATTTGATTTGATTTCCTGAGCTAAGGGAAAGGCCGTGTAATTTAACTGTAGCAGTTGTTTTTCCTCCTTTCCTTATTAAAATTGATTATGTTATTGTTTGCTATTGTATTTTAGATGACAGCCAAGGAACACGAACTGCATTGTGGGCACTAGGAAAAAACGTACTAATGAAAGAGCAAGAGAAAAAGACAGCATTTGGGAGGAGAAAGAAAAAGTGGCAAAGAAGATGTATTAAATTGACTTGCTCTGCCACAAATATTTGAGTTGCTTCTAGCAAAGAGGCTGAATACTTAGGAAACAGCTCCCACCGGCATATCTTTAATCCCACATTTCATTTGGGAAGGACACGGTGGGAAGGAATTAAATCACACCTTAAAGTCAAAGGGGAAATTAAAGCACTTCCAGATTGTTCTGTTTATTCTCATGAGACTTTTCTCTTGTACACAAATTTCTTCCCATAGTAATTTAAGTGACCCATCCCATCTACAGAGTATTTTAAATAGCAACATATCAGGAAGAGGAAGGAGTAGGTGCATTTTGTATGCATCTCTTCCTGTGTGTCTTTCTAGTGACCATTGCATGTTTTTCTTCCTAGTTCATCTCTTCAATTCAAAACACAAGATGGGACCACCAATGCAGAAACAGATTTTGTTATTCCTGGAGTAATCAACAATATTGGCACGCTAACAATGCTTAAAAGCCTTCCTGAGTGACTGTGTGAGAACGCATCTTCGCTTGTTAGTCAGACCTCAAAGATGCCAAGGGATTCTTGGATACAGCTTGAAGCGCACTTAGGAAACACCAAAAATATCATAGCATGAATGGCTTCATAAGTGCTCAATACTGGGTGGCTTAGAAATAAACCTGTTTGTTGCTGAGTTCTTTAACTACTGCGAATTTTAGTGATACCTCTGCATTTTAAGCCAGTTTTCAAATGGCGGATGCTCACACATGTAAATTAATGTTGGTCCACTCACTTGGTTTCTCGAGTGTTAGACACTTCCAGAAGAGATGGCGCTTTGGCCCCAATTAAAATCAACGGTAAAACTCCAGCGGGGTCGTATTGGCATGTAAAAGCAGCATACAGTATGGCTATTTGCATATATATCTTTACGTAGACCCTTCTTCTGACTAGGAAACCCTTCCCTGATAACTCAGAAATATTTTTTCCTCAAAAAAATGATTTGAAGCAAAACGATATTTTCATTTGTCCTTTTTTCTTACTGTTTAATCAGACAGGGATTTTTTAAAAATCCATCTGTAATTCTAAAATAGCTGAGCACGTGTTTTGTGTGAAAACATTCAGTATATGCATTGCTCGGGAACTCTTCACTGTGAACTTCAATTTGAGCACTCAGCATTTATAATTTGAGCTATGCAATTGCACATCTGACTCAAATGGCACTATTTCCGTTCCCTGGCTCGATGACTTGATTTATGCTTTATGTTTCTGTTTTCATCCAAAATCAATTTCAGTTGAATCTTTACCTATGCAGATAAAATTGCAGGAGGAAGGACTTTATGCTTAAGCTACAAATTTGAAACCCACCTTCTGAAAGAGTATTCAATAATTCAGAGCTGATTAGAGAGCTCTAGTCCAGGAAATGGGAGATTCAGGTTCTCCTTCTTCCTCTGCCCGTAGAGTTTTAAACTCCAGCCCAGGCTATGCCTATTAGGAGCAGAGGGAGTGTTCATCTCCTCTGGCTGAAATGACTTTGCTTTGTTTACAGGGATTAAAGATTCACTGCAAGAGAAAGGGAGCAAAAGCGGGGTCTGATGGTTTTAGTGAGAGTGTGCTCGGTGAGATGCGGGATGGTGGTCTGTGTTCTAGTCCTGCTCCAGGAACGAGGCAAGCATGCGCTCAGTGACAGTCGGGTATAAAAGCATAAAAATGCGTGTGTGTAGGGAGACTGGAAATCTGTTGTCCCTCTTGCCTATTTAAACTCCCAGCCATTGGGAGAGTCGCTTCTTCCCATTCTTTCCCTTTATAAAGTAAATTTCAGAAATTTAGTAAGGAAGCTCTCTTTCTCTCATATGTATGTAATTGTGTATGTATGTACTTAATCATGTATAAACATACACACACGTGTAAATATTAAACCAAAAGTTTCTCATTAGAAATCTATTTCAGATAGGGAAGAAGTAGGTTAGAGTATCTGATGATGTGACACTTTTCTACATGACATTTGACCAGAAAGATGCTTCGAAAAGCTAATTTTTAAACGTGCTTTTAGGACCTGGTACAATCCTTGTGTGCAAGAAGGCAAAACGTCAGTAGTATTTTTAGGGGCGTTACTGAGCATTGTGGTATAGTGATATATATAGACCAGGCAAAGAGAGAACCTCAAACTGCAGAGACCCATTTATGAAAGTATCTTTTAAAAAATTTGACGATTTTGTTTTCCTCCAGCAGTGGTGCAGCTCCACTGATTTGTATCCTCAGAGTTCTGCGTCATTCCTTTTCTCATGTTCCCATATGTTTCAAACACCCCGTGAGCTCTTTGCTTTCCAACTGCCTACAATGTTTCTCTTGTGCCTGACTCTTTATTGCCTTCTAGGTGTGCTGCACATCCTCAAAGTGTCTTGTTATTCATCCCGTCTCCTGTTTTATGCTGAAAGCTTTTAAATACATTTTAATGATGCATAACAGCAATATAATGAGCCTAATAGCATGCTATTGATTCTCATTTGAAACACTGACATTTGAACATTTCAATAGCCTTTTAATAGTGTGTATATTTAATGTGATTCAAAGACAAGGCAAATGCAACACGGTATCTGTCTACTAAAAAACCTCCACAATTGCTATCTACTGAATGTTTCCCCACCTCGCCTGCAATCTGTTTGTTGCAATCATCAGCCGCATTAGAAGTGCATAATTTTCAGTGTCTTAAAACAAGCAAGCCATAATCCTTGGTACAAGGAAATAAAAGGGAAAACCACAAAATCGCTGTATCCAGACACAGCTTTGCTTATCTGCTCTGGTCACGATGAAGATACTAATGATCCAGATCTACTCGGTGCTGGCAGAGAATGGAACGTGTTCGCTCCATAGCGAAGTAAACTGCCCAAGGATGCCCTGTAGATAGGAGATAGCCGAGTTATGGGACACCCTAACTCAGGCTAAGTGGGTGGACTGAGAAACACAAAAATGAAACCAGCAAACATACACATCAACATAAAGTAACAGTTCCCTTTTGATGAATAACTCAGTAGTTGCATCCTATGGAGAGAACTGTTTTCGGGAGAGGTTTCTGAGAAGTCAACGAGCAAGATGTGAAGCAGCCATACAGTGCCCTGACTAGCCCGCGTGTGGGGCTACTTGGACATAAAAATAACAAACAGCAGCGTTGCCAGGCTGCACCAGCCATATATTTTCCTTGTGTTATAAGTAAAGACCTTCTTTTTCCAGTGGTGTAACATGTTTTTTCAGGGAGTGTTTATAACAAATGAACACAAGTCAAGTTTACATCAAGTATTAACCTTACCCTGCTGGCTTTTCACAGCATCACTCATATTCTTTACACATCAGTTATCTGTACGGCAACATAAATGTGCATGACACTATCAAGATATTAGGAAATACAGTTTCTGCCCTATGGGTTGATTGAACATAAGGTAATACAGAGAGAGAGAAAAGCAAAGCACCAGGGAAACAAGGAAGACTTACGCTTTTGTAAGGTCTTCAGTTCGCTTGCTTTCCCAGTGTGCAGCTGTTGGTTTGTAACCACATCAACCAAGAGGATCATCTGACAAGTCATGACTCAGGCTTTACTGCAGTTGAGTATAATTAGGCAGGGTTTTTGCTTTTGAACTTAAAAAAAAAATCAGCTGCTTTGACTACCGTTTTGTTCATCTTTTTTTCCAATCTCTGTGCTTTGCTTTCAAGATCATGAGAATATTTCTGAGAATATGTAAGTGATTTTGAAGTCTAAGATGCTTTTTGAATTAGTAGTAGTTCCCAGTGTGCAAGTTAGGCTAAAATTAAGACACACGATTCTCAGAGGTTACCTAAGAAATTCAAAACTATTTAACAAATAAGGTACCTAAGACAGGCATAGGCACATGTTTTGTGATTAAAATGTAAGTTCTATTTCTTTCCATACCAGAGACACTGACTTCTAACCAGTGACAGAGATGATCAAGAAGACCATCTTCATTTGGTTGACAAATTTGGAAATGGGAAAAACAGTCTTACCTTGAATAGATGGTGGTAGTAATGAGTAACTCTGCTGAAAGCAGTAGAGTGGAGCATGGGTTTTAAACCAGTCCGAGAAGAAATCTCGGATGCATATAATTGTAGACAGAAGAAATGGCTGTTATTGTATTTAAGATAGGACACATGAGCAGTCTCCTGGAAGTACCTAATTCTCTTGGCTGGCCGCGGAGGGATTGTAGAATGATCAGCTCAGATGTCTCATTTTTGACCTCTAAGTTAGGACAGATCGATCCCATCCCTGAATTCATGCTGAATCTCCTGGGGAAGCGAGATCAAGTCTGAAGCCGAGTTGAGGCTAAGTCCTGGTGAGAGCCCCAGTTATACCGGCAGGCAAGATATGTGTTCCTTTTCTTATCTTCCAACAGTGTACTGCATCCCTTTTTCCCTCCCTAAACCTCAGGGGAGGTTTAGATTGGATGTAAGGAAAAATTTCTTTACTGAAAGAGTGGTGAAACATTGGAACAGGCTGCCCAGGGAAGTGGTTGAGTCCCCATCCCTGGAGGTATTTAAAAGACGAGTAGATGAGGCACTTAGGGACATGGTTTAGTGGGCATGGTGGTGTTGGGTTGACGGTTGGACTCGATGATCTTAGAGGTCTTTTCCAACCTCAATGATTTCTATGATTCATGATTCTATGATTCCCAGACTGTGCTGGTCTTCCATATTTTAAACTTAAATTCTTCAGGACAAGGACTGCCTCTAGTGACATGTTTACATAGTCCTCAGTACAGTGATTGCTGGGACTGCAAAGTATCCCTGTAATGGAAATTCTAGCATGTCTCAGGAAGAAGGGGCTTCCCTGCATAAGCCATAGAAGCAAAAACTAAAAGGTGGTGCAAAAGCGAAGGAGATGGACGATACAACCGCTTCTGTTCTGCCAACAGGAAGGGAAGTCCCCCTCGACTCCTGCTGTATGAACCTTTCTCCTGTTAAGTGTGACTATAAAAGCCCAAGTCCACAATGCTGCCAGTTCAATGAAACCGAAAGGTAGTAAATGCAAATCTTGTAAACAAAAAACATTTTATATACAGCGTGCATAAAAAGAACTTGCTGCCACAGACTGTCGCCGAGGCCAAGGTTGTAAGGAGGCATACAACATTGTCAAAGATAACAAAAATATCTAGTATAAGTGCTTCTTCAGCTTACATAATCTATAAATGATGGATGAGACCTTTTGGGGGAGTATTTCCTCTGAAGTAGCTAGTCTTGGTCACCGTCAGACAGGAATCTCGAGACCATAAATCCAATCAAATATAGCAATTTCCGTGTTGCTCATTTGTACCTGTGAGAGTCTGCTGACTTCGAAGTGCATGAAGGATTTGGTCTAAAGCACATCATCCATCATCGGTGCGGAAGTGCATTCATGCTGTGGTGGTGTGAAAAATTGCCCAACGGGCAGTTGGTTTGCAGACCAACAATGTATACACATGTATACACATGGGTAACGTGGCGTTGGTGTACAAGCCCCTGCATTCGTTGCTGTGCTGTCGTATGTCTAAAAGGATCCCAGGTTTTGAAATTCACGTACCTCCTACTCTTCCTTTTAATTCTCTGCTCAAAATCTAGTGCAAACTTCCTCTCTCATCCTGACTATTTATAAGTATACATAGAAACAAATGTTTTGTAAAGATGTGAGAGACATTCTGCTTTATTCCC